GAGAACAGACTTGTGGTTGCCAAGGAGGAGGGGGCGTGGGGGAGGAAAAGATTGGGAGTTTGGGGTTAGCAGATGCAAACTATTATATATAGAATGGATAAACAATGAGGTCTGATTGTATTAGCATAGGGAACTGTATTCAATATCCTGTGATCAACCAAAATGGACAAGTATATGAAAAAGTATGTATGTATATGTATAACTGAATCACTTTGCTGTACAGCAGAAATTAACACAACATTGTAAATCACTTATACTTCAATGAGAGAATTTTTTTTAAATAGTAATAATCTCTTCACCTCAATAAAACTTACCTCTGATGTCCTTCTCTCAGGAACTCAATTACTAGCTAAATAATTTGATAATTTATATTGCCTGTGGTAATGTAGGCAACAAACAAGTCAAACAGCTATTCTTCACAGATAATATTTACACAGTAAAATGATTTTTCTTTTCTCAACCCAAAAGAGACACAAACCGGGGAAGGTCAGGCACCAGGAGATAAAGTCTTAGGGGATCCTAAGTCAGTGCCTTTCAAATCCTGTCGCATACACTGTGACCTACTCCATTCATGGATAATGTTAAACCAGTGTTTTGTCATCCCTAAACTGAATGGACAGCAATAAACGCTTTCTAAAGTCCTTGTAACAAAACAGTCCTTTAACTGCTCGAAGTGTTCAGAGGCTGAATTTACTATGCTGCATTCTGGTGTAAGTGTCTTGTGGAGGTGGGGGAAAAGTGAGAATCTACTACAAGAAGGTAGACATTGCCTCTGCCAGTCATCCAGAGAGAAGGTGGGAAACCTCAGAAAAGAAACTCCTACGTTTTTCTGGGCATCAGTCTCTTGGTTTGAACGTCAAAGGATCGAATTAATATACTGAGGGTATTTCTACTAAAAGCTGAAAAGACGATCTGAATGGAGGGCTAGATAGTGGTCAGAGTAGTGTGTATCTTGGGGGCGAGTATTGCCTGGGAAGGGGCACACGGAGCCCTCTAGGGTGCTGGAAATATTCTATATTTTGATCTTATTAGGAGTTTTACAAGTATGTACATATGTAAACATTCATCAAGCTTTAAGCTTTAAACATTAAGATTTGTGGGCTTCCTATCATATATGTCCATCTCAATACAAATAAAAATGTGAAAATCGATGCTAGTAAATTGAAGATGATTAACTTGAAATCCAAGTTATGCAGATGTATATAATATAATCCTTTCTGTTATCGAGTTTCCCTCTATAAGCCTCTAGAAAAAAAGACAGTACAACTTGGCGGGTGCATCCAAGTGGGGTGATCATGGGTCCACAGCTGAGGCAGTGATAGAGCCCTTTGCAGTGGAGACTGTAGTGATTCTGAGAGATTCCCCAGGAATCTAGAAGCTGCAAAATCTAACTGCCCCTCTCACAGAATATTCTCCCTCCATTGCCAACTGAGGAGGATCTGGGTTCACTTTGGTAGCAGTGGTTTTCCTTGCAGCCCCTTCTGTATTTTTGTAATCATGATCCAAGATCCTAACCACAGCCTGAGAACCAAGATGTCGGTGGTGCTGCCAAGCAGACACACTGACCTGCAGACGGGGGTGATTAGAACACACACGCTAGGACCCAACCACATCACGGAGGTGATCTCCACTAGTCAACAAGAAAGAGCTGCATTTGCCCAAGTAGCTGTGTAACTAGTGCTTAGCACAGAATCCAGCCAGTACAGATCTGCAGAAACCATGTGTCGGATGCCCCAATGGGAGAAACTTCACTTAAAAGGAGCGTCTCAGCCCCTTTTCTAGGCGAGACTAGTCACACGTACTAACGAAGCTTGCTACTTGCCACAACTTTTAACCACTGACCTTAACAGGTATTTCCAATTCCATTTTGTTTACGATAAATGCAAGCTCCACTTTTTCCATTTTTAAAACATCTTCACAGGGCTAACATAGCCTGTAACGTAGTAAAGCTTGGAATTAATGAGCCTGTGCGTGTTTGCCCATGTTGGGTGGCTTGTTCATCCCATAGCAGATGGGACTCTGGCAGCGAGTCCCTCCAAACCAACCAGCTCGGCAGGATGGAGTATGGGCGTGGCAGCCCCCACTGCAGGTGTAGAGAGCAGGGGGAGGGGAGGTACTTCCCCCCAAGTGCGTGGGAGGGGGTGTGGGAATTTGTACCCAGAAGGTTGGGGTACGTGGCAGACATCGTGGCTGTCTCTACAGCGACGGTAATGGGAAGGGTTTGGAATCTTCAGACCCCAGAGGCTCTTCCCTTATGCCTTTTCCAGCACTGCATACACCTTCCCTGACCTCTCCTCTCGGATGCCCATATTCTGTTTACCAACCTGGCCAGGAGCCAATGAGTGGCTCAATGAGTGGAGAAAATAGAAGGGAGGGAGTTGAAACAAGTGCCACTGGAATGAATGTCCCAGTTGGCCTTCCCCAACTTTGAATAACCTATAGTTCCATAAAACAAGGACTAAGAGTCTTCACAAATGTGAGATGCTATTATTCACCCAAAGTTATTCCAGTCTTGGGGAAACGTGGCAAACATCTACCAGACTTCAGAGATCTTTTATTGAGTTTTTTTCTTAATAACCTAGTGTTCTCACTCTCCTCATATCACACCTCCCCACCCCTCTATCCCAGGTCTAGGAGGTGCCGAAGGGAATGAGCAGTGGCTGCAAACTCCTGGCCTAAATCCGGTGGGCAGAAGTGTTTGGTGATAAGTGTGGCTCAGCAGGACACGGGAGAGCCACGGAGATGCCGTGAGGTCCCACAAGGGGAGACACTTTCAAATAGACCAGGCCTTCAGGAGCGTTAAAATCTCTACCACCTGGCTAAAGGAATTGTATAAACTCTTTCTATCCAAGTGGGATTTAAATTTCTTTTAAATGTCATGTGATAGAAGAGGTGTAAAAGCCTAAAACTCTGAAGTGGCACCATTTTTGAGTCAGATAAAGAAGGTGCATGAGTAAGGAAAGGATGTAAAAGGCTTCAAAGTTTGTCTAATATGTCAGAGACTCTATCATTTATTAAACTGACAAGCAATTAATCAGAAATGAGCCCTGGACAATCTGGAGAAAACACCAGAAAGTATATGACTCTAGCTGCATGGCTAACACCAAATAGAGATCCTCCACGTGGAACCAGCTATCACGTTGTGTTTAAAAATCATCGCAGGTTCCAAGCTGAGCATCCAGTAAGACTGATACGGTATAATCGCCCCAAACTCAGCTGACACTTACATTATTGCTTCACAGAGGCCCCAATTCACCTGAGCAATATAAATGAAGAAAGGAAGGAGGTTATTGGCTTCTTTCTGCTCTGTGCCTCTGGGCCACATCTTCTGGCTCCTCCAGGCCGGGGGGAGGCGCAGGAAGGTGAGACTAAACGTAGGTTTTCATAGACCTAATTGTACTTGCTAAGCACTTAGGTGTGTGACCAATCACTGCAGTGACTGGTGGAGAGGCCTAAACTTCTAACTTACCAAAATACCATCTTGCAGAAATGCTAGTATATTCATATCTTAATGGCCTCTAATGATATCGCAGAGGGACCAGGGAACCAAAAACAGTCCTGCCTCAGGGAGCTTTTCAAAGAACAGTCGTGTAGGTACATTATGCCTTGGTCACTCACACACCAGTTAGGGACCCAGAGCTCTGGCCAGGCAACCCTAAGTGTGGTCAAGTGGCTTCCCAGGATACCATGTGGTGGGACTGGCATCGTTTCTAGAGATCCAGGTCCAAAAATGGAATGGCACCAAAATATCAGGGTAACCACAACAGGTTAAAAGACCCTTCTCTGCAGAAAGAGCCATAGACTCAAAAGGACGTCCCAGGCTAAGGCCTGGCCTGCGTGGGTTTGCATGGGCTCCACTGATGGAATAGTGGTGGGAGCAGCTGAGCCATTGCCAGGCCCCGAGTGGACCCTCAGACTCCATCAGGGATGACCCAAGAAGGCCACCAGTCAGTGCAGCGTGATGTTGATGATGGGAGAACCGCCCATCACCCAGGTCTGGAAACCTCACTCCTGTGGCGATCAGCATGTCCAGTGTTGGATAGAAAAGGAAAAGGAAAACCAGTGAAACCGTGATTCTGCTCATTGGCTACAGCAATGGCCTAGGCTGGGGCAGAGGTTGAAACTCTTATCTGATGAGATTCCTGGAGTATTTATCATTTTCTTTCTCTATTCCAGGCAAGCTGTTTCCAAATTTGGCTCTGAGGTCATTGTCTGGAGCACTTGTACGAAACGCAGATTCCTGGACTCCAGCCCCAAAGATTCTGACCCAAGAGGTATGCAGTATGCCCAGTAATCTGTTCCTAACAGGTGTTCCAGGTGATCCCGGCACAGGGGATCCAAGGACCAGTGTTTGGGAATAACCGCTCTAGTCCACACCAACTCCTCATATCATCAATCACTAAGAATGGGCTGCATCTCATATGTAACACCAAGCATGTCCCCGGGATCCCACTCTGACCTGCTGCCTTGTCTCAGGACACATGTCTCTGAGCTCTGCCCCCTAGTGAGCTCCACAACTGTCCATTTAGCACATGCACTTCACACGCACTCAACTCAACCAGTGTTTATTGGGCACCTACTATAGGCAAGGCACAGAACCAGATGCTGCTATGGGGAACAGAGACAAGAAGGCTGGGCCTCACCCTCGAGGGGCTCACAGTCTAGTGGGAGAGAGACACACGCACAGGTATAAAAATACAAGGCAGAATGAGGTGAGCTCTAGAACAGAGGCAAGACCAGTGGGAGGTCAGGGAGCCCAGCAGATCAGATGCTTGATGCAGTGGGTGGTGCTCTGGCCAGTCCCTGGGAGATGGGCAGGATTCGTACAGGTAGGACTGAACAGAGAAGGATATTTCAGGTACAGGAGTAGGTATAGAGCTGGGAGAGTACACTGAATGTTCAAAAGACAGGGGCAGAATGTATGCCTTGAACTGAAATATAGGATGCTAAAGGGAAAACAGGTAGCTAAAGCTGGAAAAGTGGTTTGAGGGCAGATGGCAGAGGAGATCGACTTCAATCTGTAGGCAATGGTGAGCCATCGAAGGTTTCGAAGCCAGGGAGCGATATGATCTCATTTCCTCAATTCTCTATGCTGTAATATGTGATTAGCTCTATTTCTGTTAACTTCACTCCAGGGACTTACACCCTTTCTTGGTCTCAAAGCAGAAGCTCTGTGGCCACACATACTTTCAGGGCTGCACAAAGCTCCAAAGCAGTGGCCTTAGGCTAAGTAAATGTTGAGCTCACTTAACAGCCTTGCATCACCTCCACAGAACAAGAAGGACAGCCTTCTAGAATCACTTGACAGTAAGGGGCAGGGCGCAAGGAAAATACTCAACGAACTTTTGTTGCCTAAGCATAGCACAGATAAGTTGCAGAGAAAATGGGAGCACAAAAAGTAAATGGTGGAGAGATGCAGGTGACAAAATTAGCATTATCCAAACTAAACCATCTCCCTGTAGGCTTCTGGTATAACCCCATTCACTGGGTGGGGAGACTCTGCAGTCTGACTCACTGGGATTAGTAGGTGAGACTTCTAAGAGCTCTACACCTAGCAGGTTCTCTGCTGACAACTTTCCTAGGATCCTGCTTAACTATCCAGTGAGGAGGGAGACTGGCGCCCACCCCCACCCAGGCTACCACAGCCTGAGAAGGGATGCGAGGTCACTGCTGTCCAGGTAGACACAGCGATGCTGGTCAGCGAGGGCTCCCCCAGAACCTCCACACCAGCCGAAGCAGGAGCCTGGGTGGAGAGGGGCGAAGTCACAGCTGGATTACCCAGGAGAAACGCTCCCGGGGAGCCGGCGTGCACCTCCGAGCCCGACCCGGAAGGGCTCCCGCCACCGTTACTGATGGTCCACAGGCACGGGTAGGGACTGCAGAGAAACAGAGAGAGAGAGAGAGAGAGAGAGAGAGAGAAAATGCTTGTCGACACACCCAGGAAGGATTGCCACCTGACAAGCACGCACGCAGTGCTGAGAGGGGCACAGGTCTAGAAGAGGGCATCGGACCATGGCGTTATTTCTAGCTCTGACACACACTGGCCCAGTTTCTGCAGAGAAGCAGCAAGATGTAGTAGAATAAACATATGATTAGGTGTCCTGAGACCTGCATTTTGATGCTGGCCCTATACCTCTAGCAAGTTGTTCAGTTTTGAACACGGTATTTTATTTCTCTAGGCCTCACTTGCCACCTGTGTAAATGGACAGGGGAGTGAAAGGATGATATTTGGGCAGTATGATCTATGAGTAAGATCCCTCACTGACCAAGAGAGGTGATGTGGCCTAATAGCCAGGACACATTGTTGTCAGAAAACCTAGGTTTGAACCCTTGCACTACCACTTATTAGCTCTGTGACTTTGATCAAATTATTTAATGTATGAGCCTCAGTTTCCTCATCCTCAAGATTTGGAGTGATAATTAGACATACCTTACAGATGTTGTTATGAGGATCAAATAAGAAAATGGGTATGTGATGTCTAACACATAGGACTCAGTAAATGATGGTTCTTATAATTAATTCTTCCATATTCCAGGTTTCTACCTGTCAGCTCTGGTCCCTGGTAGAAAGGCTGGGGAGCTGTACCACTATCTTGGACTTCTCTTATCCTATGTCACTGGTTCACAAACTTGACTGCACACTGGAATCACTTAGCGAATTAAAAAAAAAAAAAAAAAAAAACCAATGCCTGGGTTCTATCCCCCGAGATTCTGATCTAATTAGTCTGGCATGCGGTATCAGAAGTTTTTAAAACTTTTCTGTTGACTGTAATGCGCAGCCTATTTTGTACCTTCACATAGAACCTAGATGAAAATGACTATAGGTGACACAGGCAGAATAACCTCCAGTGCTTTAGTCCTCACCATGTTCTGACTTTTCAGAGTCCCCATTTTGCCTGATATGTATTGCTTGATAATAGGCTCATTACCTAATGTCAGTACTGAACACATTTGTTTTTCTCTAGCAAAACCTTTATAGCATCAGCAATGGGTTAAACATGCCACTGATGAAGCCAGAGGTAGCAATGCCACCCTGCACTCTCTGCCGTATTTCAGATACCACAGACCTCACTGGACCATATGAAACCTGCAGAAACCCAGGCTTTGGGGTTTTGGTGTTTTTGCTTTTGTTTTTAGCCAGCTCAGCGTGCTGGGATTCTGACCCCAATTCCCCAGTTTCCAGAAGAGACTCTCAATATCAGTCAGAGTCCCTTTCTGATGCTTCCTGGGCCGGTGGGAAAACCATGGGCTCTGAGTTACATTACTTACCGTATGACCTTCAGGCCGTTTTTAATGCCTCTGAGCTTTAGTTTCTCCATCAGGAAAATAGGAATTTTAATAGCAGCCTTATGGATGTCTTTGAATCCTATAAATGACTTACATAAAGGATCTAGTACAAAACTTGGCACATGGTTGTTTAATATCTTCAAAGACACTC